AAGCGAGATCAACAGACTCAAGTCTGAGTTGGCGGCACTCGAGGCGAAATACCAGAATGAATTGGAAGATGAGCGAGATCAACATCAACACGTTGGTTTTTCTTGGGAAAGAGTAAAGTATTTCGATAAGAAATTTCAGGCAATATAAAAAGTGTTTCAAAAGCAAGACACTGAACAAGAGACTCTAAAAATGAGTTAACTTAATGAAATGGAACAAACAGAACAGAAATTTTCGGAACTTCCTATGATACGGAGAGATTCATGAGGAACTAAATGAAGTGATATGAAATGTTACAAGTGAAACCAATTGCCTAGAAAGAAACATCATATAAAATGACTCGAACAATCCCATTGTGAATGTGATATTTCAGATCTAGTAAAATATCTCTGATACTTAGGATAATCATCAGCTACAGTTAATGAGAAATTGATCTGCTGCTACTGAAACGAGTGAGTTGATTTTGAGGGATTAAGAGATAAACTCATGAGCCATTACAAAGGCCTACAGAACTAGCAACATCATCAAATGCCTACAGATTTGAAGAGTTCTAAACTTTCAGGATGCTGACGTGCTCAAGGCCACCGAAGAAGAGTTGCGTACGAAGATCACGCTTCTTGAGACCAAACTTGAGGCTGCGAATGATCGCGAGAAGAATTTGCACAATGAGATTGCCGAATGGGAGGATAAATACGACTCGGTGAATAAAGAGCTGCAAAAAGTCAGAGACGAGCTGGACGTGGTCAGAAGTGATTACGAGAAGGTAACTGATCTGTAAATCGGATTTGATCCATAGTTTTTCTGATAAAACCGGATCAATCACAGCAGTCCAGACAGGCCTCAGCGCCTGAAAAGGAAGACCACAGTTCAATAGGGAAACATCAAGCTGTCAGATCAAGAAGCTATCAGATCCACGAATAATGAAACATGACTTAATTGCGAGTTAATCACCCCAGCTACTAAATAAGTTTGAAACATGACCGATTCACTCAAGGCATTAAGATATAAGATGATGCTGAATATCATGAGTTTGAAGCCAAACTATCACTTGCAACATCAAGAGTTACTAACATGAGATATTCCACAATATCGCTAGATATTCCACACGGAGAGGATGACCATACTGGTTCAATCATATGAAAAACTGATCATCAGATCGTAATTTAAGAAGAGTCTAATGAATTCAAGGAGTGATCAAAGTAAATGAGCCAAAACTCATCAGTACCAGTTACCGTAGTTAGAAGTTACCAGAGTATGGAGACTCGAAACCATAGGTTTTTCCAAATGATGACAGTTGCTTAATGTCTCAATGAGCATGGAAAAACGACAGATTCCACTGAAGATACTAACAATAAGATGAACCATGAATATATTATGCTATTAAAATACTATAATCTTAAGCTATACTATTAAGCTATAACAACTGTAATATCAAGATATTAAGATTCTCTATTAAGACACTGGAATATCAAGATACTATAGTATGGTGCATAAGGTACTGAAATTAAGATACTATAATATTAAGATAGTATTAAAGCTTGTCACAATGTAGTGGAGTGTATCAATACCGAGATCTCGTTCAGGAAATCGAGAAGGCCAAGACAGACTTGAACAACGCCCAAGCCGAGATCAAGAACCTCGAGGCACAAATTGAAACGTTAAAGTCCCAACTGAACTCGGCGAACGATCGTGCCAACTCACTGACCAGAACAGTGAATGAGCAGAACGGAAAGATTCGTGAACGTTAGTTGGTTGATGTCGCAATTTCAGACGCCTTCAAATTTTGGCCGATTTGGCCGATCAGCCGCTCATTTCATTTTGTTCGCTCTATTGCCTTTGCTCCTTAGGTCATGGATCGATTAATTGGAAATCATAAAATCTGCATATTCAGATAACTGAATATTGGATCAAGAAAATTTGACTCGATTACCGAATGTGGGATTCCGTGTAGGATAGATTACCGATAAGGCTGGATTGATTTGCATCATCTAATAATTAAGGAGACATTTACTTCAGAACCTCAAAACTCTTAAGGATAACTTCCACCATTCAACAGTTATATTCATAGAATATCATCAACATTTAGCAATCCAATTATAGGTTCTTCAAACTTATTTTGATGGGTCATATTCTTGTCCCCTCTCAACTTGACATTTCAAATTCATTTTTGTAACGTTTTGTGCAAGATCTCAATTTCTGAGGTTGCAGTTACGTCAA